GAAAGAAATAAAAATAAAAATGATGGGGGGTTTGATGATTTTATCTAACTAAGAAAATAGAATAAAATAAAACTAAAATCAAACTAGATACAAGAACAAATGAGTGATTAGAAATAAAGAAGATATCTAACCAAAGGAAAAACTCATAGAATTGGTTCAACGATTCGATCATGGATGCAAAAATAATTCTCCTATTCTCGATTAAACCGGTTATGGTTATTGGTACGACCTAACAACTTATCCTTCCTTACTTGTTCAATAATCAGGATACGATCTCTAATTATTTCTCTAATCAATAAACAACCCTAGATACGATCATAGGATTTAATCTATCAACAGCATTGAAATCTAGAAGGACCACCAATTCTAGCCAACAAACACACATGTAGGATCATTAGACTAGATCATATATCTCCCTAAGCATACAATTGAAAACCCTTAGTAATCAACTATGCTATTTGCCACAAATATTAGAACGATCAAACAATTACGGATTTAACTGTCCTAAATAACGATATGCGTTTCAACAATCGAACAAATGGCCAATTTGCATCAATCAATCAGAACACAATTGGTAATAATCACAAGAGATATATAATAAAAGAGAATAGGGAATAGAAATTCAATTAGATCTCACCAATCATGAAAAACCAAATCTAGAATAATCCTTTGGCTATCCTTTGGCTGGAAAAATAATTTAACTATCCATAAACATTGGGAGAAGTCTCCCAATTATTCATGAAAAATAAAAGAAAAGAAGAAAAGAAAAGAAGAGAAGATGGTGTGTCGTAGAGAGGGAGGAAGAAAAGAAGAGATAAGATAGATATAAAATCTAACCGTCTAGTTTTTTTATTAAAACCAGTCTAATCCTAATAGAAAATGCGTAAAAAATAAGAAAGAGATCATTCTCTCTCTAAAATATCATAATAAAATAATAATAGTCCATAAATAAATAAATACTCATAAATGTGTTATTATTCTCTTTCCAACTTGAGACTCCTTCCTTCTTCCAACCCTCGTAGGAAATTAGCGTGCCCACGCCTTAGCTCAAATTCGTCTCTTTTGCCCTTTAATCATCATAAATTCCAAATTCCAAGATATCCTACAAAAAATATAGAAATCAATTAAAATCAATAGTTAAGCTTAAATAAACACCAAAAAAGTATGGAAAACATGACAATTAACATGCCAAGAATACGACTTATCACAGACGGTCATTTTTAGCGGTTAATCGGTTAAATCCAAAATCCTTGTTTTGGGACTTCAATATTTATTTTTTTTCTTTTTGGGTTTAATTTTTATTTTTCAACTTTGGTCCCAAAAAAAAATTATTTGGGCCCAAAAATTAAGCAAAACAACAATAATGAAATAAAAAATACATAATTCATCTCAAAAAATTAGGAAGAGGAGGTGGGAAAAATTTGAAAATGAAAAAACGAAGGTGAGAAAAAGTGAAAAGTTATAGTGTCTTACAAAATTAAAACAAAATGCCAAAAAGTGAAAGTGAATGTATTGTATTTGTCGGCCATAGTGAATGACAGAATATATATATATATATATATATTTATTTGTTATATTTTTTTAATATTTACCGACACGGTCCGATAAAACCGGCAGTTTGCCGCAGGTAATCCGTTAACCGGACCGGTTATTCTGAATTTTTTAAAAAAATTAACCACCAGATTTTTTAAGGTTCTTTTAACCGACCATTTAACCGATCCGCGATCCAGATTGACGGTTTTTTTGGTTAAAATCAGACCGTGAACACCCCTAACTGAAACATACCTCCAACCCATGAAAAAAATCGAAGCGAAATTGAATTGGAAATTTCTACACTAAAATAATAAACTTTGATATAACACTCATAATAGTTCGACAATCTAGCTTGAGCATTCAACTCGGCTAGACCAGAATGGGAGAGCTATGGTTTGTTTATAAGTAAGTTAGGGGTGTGCGAAATCGATCCGTAATTGAAAAACTGAGTAGAACCGATATATTTGATGCGGAGTGGTTTGATTTGTTTAAGATTGCGATTTTGCTATGCTAGGCCTTAAAAAGTCGCAAAAATTCGGTGTGGATCATTTTTATGGTTAGATGGTGCGGTATTAACCGAACCGCACCAAATAAAGTTTATGTTAAACACCTATATATATATTATAAGAATATATTAAACAAATTTTGTTTTGGTTACATTTTTTTGTTGTTTTATTTATTTTTTATTACTCGCGGTTAACCGAGCTGAACGACACCGAAACCGAAAATTTTAGTTAGGTTTTGTCTCTATAATGGTGCGGTTCAGTTTGAAATTTTAGAAATTTTCAGTTTTCATTTTTTTATCTTTTTGTGGTTTGGTGCGGTATTCACCGAAACACACCGATGCTCGCCCCTAAGTAATAAACCAGTCAAGAAGCTCGTACTCGAGCTTAAGGTACTGGCCAATCGGAAGAAAACGACCTGGGGGTACTGGCCTCCAAGAGCCCGACAATAAAGTCGACCTTGTGGGATGGAGGTTGTAAGACCTGAGGCTAGGCTAGATCTGAAGAGGAGGTCATGTTCGACCTAAGTTAAGTCACAACAAGCAGGTCAGGAGGTCGTGGTTGCGGCCTGAGCACCTAAGGGCTGCGTGGTAAGGGGAAAAGAATCATACTTAGAAGAAAAGTATCACTTGATCAAGGAGACTTGCCCAGATAGAGACATGGTAAGCTATAAAATGTGATCTGGTTAGATCTCTTTCCTAACAAGGATTTCCTTGGGCATCAAGACATAAGGATGTCATGTTCTTATTCATTGGAAAATCGCATATTCTATGCCCTAAGTAACATATTCTCGTATAGATATTTGTTGAGCTAGTTCTGACTTGAGCATTAGGGGTTTTCCGCCAGAACCCCCTCCCATCGTATTGCAAATTACAGGAGCTCAAAGACGTAGGAGATTCACAGCGTATGCGGTTCAACTCAGTTCGCAACGAATAGTGACGCAATAAATTGGCGCCGTCTAGGACTAACTTTGGTCTATTTACCGGCTATAAGGGACTAATAATTTTATCCTATATAAGGGTGTCATGTTCTTGTTCATTGAAATATCGCATCTTCTATGCCCTAAGTTACATATTCTGGTGAATATTTGTTGACAGAGTTCTGATTTGAGCATCGGTGATTTTCCATTAAGACTCCCTCTTGGCGTATTGCAGGTCACCAGAGCTTAAAGACGAATGAGGTTCACGACGCTGACGATTCAACTCGGTTGGCAACGAATAACGACACAACAAATTGAACTACACTAAGTCGCATAGTTTGATTCGATTCTTCCATTTTGTCTCAATTTGGGTCATCCTTTTTTGGGAATAAAACTTGCAAGTTAAGACACCATTTAAAAAAGTTCAGTTTATGGCCCGATTGAGTCATTTTTTTAATGAGAACAATTTCAATTTGATCGCGTTTAGTAATGATCAGAAGCTAATTTATAGTTTATTTAATTAACTTATAAACTTATTGTATCAAACTAAGTTTGAGGTATGCTTGATAAATCTAGTTGAAAAGTTTACATATAGTTGATAAGCTACGTGATAGTTCGTAAGTTAATTTCAAGTTTATGAGTGTTTGGTAAGTACCGTATATATTATTTAGTTAGCTTATAAAGTTGTTTTATTTAAATAAGATTAGTTTGGTATGATGTATTTTTTAAAAAAAAAATTGAACTTGTCACATAAGATTCACTATGTAGCTTTTCATAAAAGTCCGTTATAATTGTTATTTAAGCCGATTTATCAGGTAATTTTACCAAACACTTATATCTTATCAGTTAACGTTTCAATCATAACTATAAGTTATCAATATAAGCTTGAAATTCAATTATTAGATATAAGCTATTATTATCAAACACACCATATATGTGATAGCTTATGACTTATGATTGAACGATTAGATGATGTAATAAAAATATTTTGTAAGATTGACTTATAAGTTAGCTGCAAGAAAAATACTTAAACATTTTTTTCTGAAAAATTACAAAAGTAATGTTTGATAAATATAATTGAAAAGACTAGTTGATAGTTGATAACATATAAATTTAGTTTGTGGTGCTTAATTAATATTTTTTTAAATCAAATTTATCTTATAATTTTCTTAAAATATATAGTGCATCTCATAAAAAATTTATTTTAATAACTTTATCAAATGTTTTTATTATGTTGGCTAGTTTTTTCATCAATTTAGCCCTAATTTATAGACTATGAGTAAATGAGTAATGCCCTCCTACGGCGGACACATGTTAATATGTCCACAATTTATGTGGCATGCATACATTGGTGATGTTTAGTTTTTTCATCAATTTAGCCCTAACTTATAGACTATGAGTAAATGAGTAATGCTCTCCTACGGTGACCGCATGTTAATATGTCTACCGTTTATATAGCATGCACACATTGGTGATGTTTACATCACCAATATATGCATGCCACATAAGCTGTGGACATATTAATATGTGTCCGCCGTGGGTAGGGAGCATTATGAATGAGTCAATTTTCAACTAGATTTTTTTTTTTTAAAAAAAAACTTGATTTATCAAAACTGAAAAGGCGCTTCCTCTCACATCCTTACACGTATCACCCTGCTGGCGCTGCAAACCAAAAAGAAACCCCTGATATTCATCTCTCTCACTCTCTCTGTTGCACATAAAAAAAATCATCAAAAAATTACAGTGCAAAACCCTAGGTAGGTTCCTACCTCTGCACACACACTCACACGCACAATCATCACATGCGCCTGCATTTCGACACGCACACACTCTTATATATATATATATATATATATATATATCTGTTTATCAATCTAGTTTTCTACTTTTTTTCATGGTAAGTTGGTAACTGATAAATATATATTCACATCTGTTCACACTCATCCAGGGGACGAAGGAAGGAAGGAAGGAAAGCGATAGCGCGACATTTGGGGACGGTCGGTACCGACTGACCTTCAATTTCTCGACGAATTGTGTTCACTTTAATGGCGTCGTCGAAGCTCATGGCTTCTTCGACCTCGCGAAATTCGGATCTCAAGCGCAAGCTCTCCTTGCCTTGTGGGTCGGCCGATTTTCTCCGAATCAACACCGGCGCCGGCGGTCGCGACGGTTTGGAGGCCGAACCTATGAAGGAGGACCGGTTGGGGCGGAGGAATTTCATAGAACTGAACTCGGTTCCGGATGAGGATGAGGATCAGGATCAGGATCAGGATCAGGACCATCCTCTTGCCGGCGGGGCTGAGCAGAGCTCGAGCGCGCAGCTGAAGGCGGAGATCGCGCTTTTGGATGAGGCCGGAGCTGTTACGCCCATTGGGGACGGAGGATTCGAGCCCCCAAGGGTGGTTAGGAAAACGGTGGACGACGTGTGGAGGGAGATTGTGGCTGGGAAGAAGAACGAGAAGCAGCCGAAGGAGGAGATGATGACTCTGGAAGATTTTCTGGCCAAGACTGGCGCGGAGGAGGAGGAGAAGGTGGCAGGGGCAGCACCTGAGACGAGTGGCGTTTTGGGGGTGAAGGAGGAGCAGTTGAGCCGGGGGGTTTATGCCTACGAGACGAAGTCTTGTGTTGCCGGGGTTGATATGGGGATGGGGTTGGGTGTGGAAGTTGGGAGTTTGGGCAGGGGGAAAGGGAAGAGGAGTATGAGTTTGTTGGAGCCTCTAGATAAGGCAGCTCAGCAGAGGCAGAGAAGAATGATCAAGAACAGGGAGTCTGCCGCGAGGTCAAGAGAGCGTAAGCAGGTGGGGTTTTAGTCCTTTTTGTATTGGTTGTTCTTGCAAGCGAGGTGAACAGTGGTGTGGTAATTTCTTGCTTTTTTTCTATGATTTTATTTAGGCATATCAAGTGGAATTGGAGTCCATGGTGGCACGACTAGAAGAAGAAAGGGAGCGATATCTGAGAGAGAAGGTAGTTCTTTCCGTTATTCTTGTTTTCATATTGACAACTGTATGAGTTGCTGGTGGATATGATTGTGTTGGCGTTAATTTACTATTGCTCGACTAAAGAGCTGTTTTGATTGATCTAGATCGATTGGAAGTTAGACGATCCAAGTTTGTTTCTAATGTTTGGTTTTATGGGTCTTTTGATGTTGACATATGTCTCCGTATATTGCGCTTTCATGATATCACTAGGTTCTCGAAACCGTTGATTTCTTGGTCGTTGGCTGTGGTTTATTTTTGTCCATATAGAAATCCTAGGCAGCTACTTTATTTGTGAATGGGGCGTGTCCCCTGAGATTTGGGGTCAACTATTAAGGACAGTTGTTGATTATATCAATGAGGCTATTTCTTATATGGTATGCATTTTTGTTTTCCCTGTAAGGCCATTGGTGAAGGCTAGAAGATGCCAACTTGTGGTTGGTTATTTCGTGCATAGCATATTTCTGTTTTCTATCATTCTGTTAGAAATAATTGCTCACGTATGGGCAACGTTCGTGAGAATTGGTGGCATGTCGTTATGTGGCATTTATGTAGCCACATTTAACTAGTCAACGTGACATTGGTCAAGTGCCAATTTTTGGTATATCCATAAAAAATCTCCAACACCTTCAGCTTACGTCAGGCACGTACGTCAAACATGCGGCGTGCCAATCCTTGGTATAGATGCCAGCTGTATATCCATCAAAATCCTAAAAGTCCATTTCGTAGTTATATTGACGCTGTTTTCTTTCGAAACACTCTTCCCC